CTTATCTTCCTTTCAGGAAAGTTACTTTTGACCATAGTCTAGAAACAAAAAAGTATTGTATTTCATAGCAAAAAAGTATTGTATTTCATAGCAAGAAGATGTCCAGATCAAATTGCTGCCAAATGAAATTCAAAAAATAAAATGCATAAAAAGAGTAAGAAAAGGTCATTGTAGATGTTGAGGTTACAGGCTTAAATTTGCATAGGAAAAATGTTTAGTGTTTTTTTCTGTTTTTTTTTTGTTTTGTTTTGTTTTGTTAGTGCATGGCTTAGAGTTCTGAAGGCTTACCCTTCCATGAAGATCTCATAAGGGAAATGTCTTGAGCCTCAAACTGGTTTTCGTGTCTTGATCCTATACCACCCCAGTGAGAATGCTCCTCCAGGGGAAAGGCCAGTCCTATGTCTTTAATTATAAGCACAGTTTTCTCTCTGGGCTTTCACTGACTGGTGGGTTGTAGCCATCGTAGATAAGTGGGTAAGAAGGTCCCCCAGGGTAGGCAGCTAAACAGTAAAAAAAAAAAGCCGTGGGTTTCAGTCCTTCGCCATTCAGATGTGTGGCCCAGGAACAAACACTGTTGTCATAACTGGGGAGTTTGTTAGAAATGCAGATTCTCAGTCCCCACTCCGGACCTGCCCATTGAAGCTGTGTTTTAACAACATTCCCAGGTGATTCATGCGGACACTGAAGTTCAGGAGCGCTGTTCTAGCCCAGCCCCCAGTAAAGCAGGCCACTCTGTTTAAGCACAATTGCTACAGAGGAAAAACAGGTTATCTGGGGGGGGTCACTAGCATAACTTATTTCCCAATTCAACATTCCTTTTACTAAGGGGAGGTGGGACAACTGTCTTCTACAGGTGTCATCCACTTCTAACTTTGTTTTCTTTTTCATTTTTTCTGGATAGACTTTAATGTGTCCTCTTCCTCAGGAATGTTAATTTAGAAAATAATTATATACACATATTAAAAAGAACGGAAAACTCTGCAGTAAACACTTATCAAGCCTTCTGTTAATCAGTAATCTCTATTAACACACAGTCCCACACATCTTCAGCACAATCAAATCCACAAATACCTCTCACGCAGCTTGTGCAGACAGCCTTCTGCGACAGAATGGTCATGCATATTCATAGCGATGAACCTGAAGCAGTTTAGGGTCCTGAAATGCCCTCTGAATCATTAAGGGACTGTGAGCATAAATTCAGTGTAATCTCAGCGTTGTGTATAATTTAGTCTTCTCTTATGAAAATGGCAATCCAGGCATCGAGTAAGACATTCTCTACATTTCTCCACTTTTAATATTGCTTTTCTGCTCATTCTGTTCTAATTAACACACTTAATTCAGTTCCTCCCGCCTATGTGCATTGGTTTGATAGATTCCTGCTGTGTTCTTTTAAAAATCTGCCCAGATGATTTGGTGATTGTTTTTACGGCTTTTTAAAAATTAAGAGTAATGCAACTGCTGAATAAAAAAAAAAGCCAATTAATGCTATTTGAGACTGCATTAATAGACATGTAATGCCTAGAATGTAAGTAGTAGGACCCATCAAACCCTGAAGGGGTCAGATGGGGAGCTCCATGTTTAGTTTTCCGTATTTAAGAAGAGAAATAAAAGAAATGTGTTCAGAGAATGTTTATCAGGAGAGTGGAAGTTCAAGGGCCTTGTTTTTGTAGTAAGTGTTGACAAAACTGAAAATGTTTGCACTGAATAAGAAAAGAGTCAAGGGAAATGTGCTGAGTTTCCTCAGGTATTCTCTCCTGTATGGAAAGGGTCTTGGGTCAAGGACTCACCATGCATATTGCACAGAGCTGGTGGATGTCTCAGGGAAGGAATGTCTTCACTTAATCACCCGACCATTCCATTGTGCATCTGTGTGTCGGCCACGTGCCTTCTCCCCTAAGGGTGGATATGTGCAAGCAAGGCAAGCAGCAGACACCAGAGGGCTAAAAATGGTCCTACTTTAGGCCAGACACTTGGACTAGATTATTTTAAAAATGCTGCCCAGTGTGTAACAATCCCTAAGTCCAAATATGACTCCGTGAACTGTTGATCTGATGTTGCAATGTCTCCTGGAATGACTTGGTGGGCCTCTCCTGATGTCTATTAGAATAGAATAAACAGAGTAGATATGCTAGTGTGTGAGAGTGTGTTAGAGTCCAAGAGCTGCTATGACAACTTAGCACGGACTTGGTAGCTTCAAGCAATAGAAGTGTCCTGTCACACAGTTCTAGAGGCTAGAAGTCTGCAGCGCCATGCTGGCTTGATGTCGCTGGAGGAGCATCTGTCCTTT